AAATAATAAATATATTTTTTATCACATTCGCAGGAAGTGAGAAGTTGGGGAAAATGAACAGATTCTGAACATGAATATGGGTACAGAGTGATCAGACAGCCGCAGTCAAGGCAAAGATTGGACGCACACTATGGACAAGCTTCTCGCAAAATACTGCTATTATATGAAGTTTCCAAACACAAAAGGCACCGTTAGCCCATCCTAAGCCGTTTCATTCATTTTCAATGCACTGTTCTTCACGAATACTCAAACGTATCATTAGATACTTCCAAAATAAGGCAAGCAATAAAATAGAGCAAGGAAGATCTTTCACTTGAGCAAGTTACAATATTACCACCGTGAGTGTCGAACGAAATGTCTAAATGAAATAATATGACTACAGTCTATGCATAGTTAAGCTTCGTTATACACTATGAGTGCGGAGACAGGAGTTCCTGGAACTTTTTCTCTTCCATGAAGAGGTGCCAATTCTATTATCATGTATGCTTCCGACACAGTGGCATTTGCTTTCTCGATGAGATCAACAGCAGCCTGAAGAACGAATTAAAGGAGGAATTCACGATAAGAACGAAGGTCAAAGAAGGGAAAATTGCATAGTTGGGAGACAGGCGGACCTCCTGAGGGTGCTGACCGACGCGCAATTGGCAGCGAAAGATTTGACCTCGGCGATCTAGCATGGCTCACTCTTGGCGCGGTTGGCGGGTACGCCCACCGACTATCTAATCACTCGCCGCAGGTCTATACGTGGCGAGTGATTAGATAGCAGAGAGAGAGCGTAGTGTTGAAGAGGGCACAGCGATGAGAGTCGCATCAATGCGCAAATCAACGGGCAAGGAAGGGGTCCCATTTCTCGGGTTTCGGGCCGTTTCAAATGGTTTCTTCTTCATCCTGCTCCACTGACCACCTCTACCCTTATTTCCAATGAGCTAACTTTTCATCGTAAATTCTGCCTTTAATCCGCATTTCTGCATTGATTATGAAGCAAGAACTCCAGCAAAGTCGTGTCGAAGAATCTATTCAGTGGTGGGATAGAGTAGCCCACGAGTATCACAGATGTGCCGTTGTCGCGGCTCGAAAGTGCGCGACAATGGCGCTAGGGCTTTACAAAGTGAGCGACTAATGTGAACTTATGGACGAGATACCTCGCGCACACCCGTAGCGTGGATTACGAAGTAGCGGCTAATTCGAATACGCGCGGCTAAGTGGAGCCATGGAGCAAGCAAAATCAGCCAACTCGTTGGGACGCGCCCCTCCCTCATGGGAAGTTGAAAGAAAGGGAACATTTATTAATGGCGTCATCGGTGGTTCGCTCTGTTACTCCATAAATTTGATCTGGAATTGTTGCTCGAAGCATGCACCCTGGAACAAGCCTTACCTTTAAGGTGCCCCCTGTTGCTAACAAATCGTCGATTATTACGACCTTCCAACCAGCAGATATAGCATCCTTCTGAATTTCAATGACGTCCTGAAAATAATTCTCATGAACGCAGCGCAAATCGTTTGAGAAAAAACCTATGGAATATAATAATCCACCAGTCGCATCGCCCGGCTACGCCGGGACACGTCGTATAGCACCCATCGACTCAGATCACCCCCCCCCCCGATTTCGTGTTCAATCTCTTCACTGCGTACTCAGCACTGCAATACCGTGCCACCTTTCTCAGTTCTCGGAGCGATGGACTCCTCTGTTATCTGAGTACGTAAATCTCACAGAAGTGTCATGTAGTGCTCACCTCTCTCACTACGTTTTCTTGCCATCATTCCACATCAGAAATCAATATCCGTTTTCATAGATGTGGAATGATGGCAAGAAAACGTAGTGAGAGAGGTGAGCACTACATGACACTTCTGTGAGATTTACGTACTCAGATAACAGAGGAGTCCATCGCTCCAAGAACTGAGAAAGGTGGCACGGTATTAATGCAGTGCTAAGTACGCAGTAAAGAGATTGAAACACGAAATCGGAGGTGGGGGGAGGGTGATCTGAGTCGATGGGTGCTATACGACATGTACGGATGGGAGGAATGCCCGGCGTAGCCGGGCGATGCGACTAGTATAATAGTAATCGCCCAATCAGCATGATCAGCATTGTTGATCCCAACCTAACTCGACCCTCTGCACAAAATCGATATGACCTGATTGAGCTTTGAGTTTTACGATTACAGCGCCCAATCAATATTGTGATTCCCAACCTAATTTGAACCCTCTGTGCGCGAAAACCGATATTCCCCGCAGATATTTCGGTGCAGGCCCCGCCCCTCAGCTGGACAAACAAACACACCAAACTACTGCTTTATATATAGAGTGGATTTGAATACTTCATACCTCACCATATTCCTTCACATATGACGCTTGCAAGCACTCGCCAGGCAGTTTACCTTGCTTCCGGATAGGGACAAATGGTACTCCCAGGAGAATAGCAACAACAGGCCCAAACAGAAAACCTGCAAAAAATACTTCATTCGGTGAAATCACGTCGCTAGATGCCTGTAAAACAGTCCTGAGAAAGCCTAAGATAGATTTTTCCATCTTAGCAGCAGTCATAACATTTCTGTGCTAACCTCCTTACGGAAAAATAAGGTACACTGTAAGGAAGCATTCGAAATTTGCAACTCTGTAGTCTTAGCTATTTGGCGAGACCACAACCGGTACTAATACATTACACTCGCACTGCCCAGATTTAGACAGAGATCATGAGAAAATCTGCTGTGCTTCACGTAAGGAAGGAGCAATCTTAGCCATGTTTACCACTGCGATCACTTTCAGTGCGCTGCCTTGGACACTTTTCCAGCAACTAGTGGCAAGACCCAGACCCCTCTCTTTGAGCCGTAGAGCCTTCGGATTGTGTTGAACTTAGGAGGCCGTGGGCGGACGAGTTTCAGTACTCCTACTCGTGTCAATGACGAGCCGTAATGCTAACACTGCGGCAACCGCAGGCCACGCTCTTCTGGCGGCGCCAACGTGTCAGCCGACTACAGAGGGCGGGGCTTGCGGACCTAGGTGTGAATTGCGGGTTGACCGCGAACCAACACTTGTTCGACGCCTCTTACCAGGAAGGTCTTTCAGGGCGTGACGAGCTTTTTGAAAACGGTCTTTTGCATGATATAGGGGCAGATGCGGGAACCACAGAACCATGTTTAATTTTTCCTGAACGGCCCTCTGAATACCAGAAAAGGGGGTCCCTAGTTCGATTCCTCGTGGTGACAAATTTTTGCATTTCGAGTTGACGTTCCAAAATTCGCGCAAAATGGAGTTAGCATGAATAATTAGTACCATATTCATGATTAGGACCGTCAGTAACCCTTACAAATAGACTTTGATTAAAAACTGGTGAAAAAGGTGTGACACCACAGTGGGGCTGCTTGATGTCACACCTCTCACACCAATTTTTAAGTCAAAGTCTTTTTGTAGGGTTACTGACGGTCCTAATCATGAATATGGTACTAATTATTCATGCTAACTCCATTTTGCGCGAATTTTGGAACGTCAACTCGAAATGCAAAAATTTGTCACCACGAGGAATCGAACTAGGGACCCCTTTTCTGGTATTCAGAGGGCCGTTCAGGAAAAATTAAACATGGTTCTGTGGTCCCGCATCTGCCCCTATATCATGCAAAAGACCGTTTTCAAAAAGCTTGTCACGCCCTGAAAGACCTTCCTGGTTAGTCTTCCATGTTCGTAAAAGGTGCGTCAACCACGGTCGCCTTGATCTCCTTACGATTGGCGGATGGAAAGGGGAACACTTACCGCACCGCGCCTTTGAACCAGGTGGCAGTAGCAATGGAGATTTTTCAAAAAGAGAACAATAGGGGAAGTAGGAGCACCTCAAGATTCCATTCCTGTTCCATGCCCCATCGTGGTAGACAGGCGAACACGCAGCTCGTCGCCCCTTCACGACTGGAAGGATCTCGGAGTGCGCGACAAAGGCTTCGGTTAAATTCCCATGGATCCTTTCAAAGATGGGGAAGACATATGATTCCAGTAGGAGGGCGAAAGATGGTGTTACGGCGTCACTTACGACGTGCACGGTGCGGAAATCAATTACCAAATCGTACGCTGTCCAAGCTAGCCGAGTCTTTCATGCTCCAATGTTGGTTGTTTGGTAGCGATTCATTTGGGATGATAGCAAGTACCTTGCATATCGGTATCATCTTGATTTTGGGTAGGGAAATCACCGCAAAAAATAAGGAAGTCAGTCTCTCGGGTCTCGTTTACGATATACTTCCACAAAACTTAAAGGCACACTTCACGATAACTTCAGATAAATAAGTCCCTTCGCTGGGCAGGATGGAATTGTTCACTAAGGCTAAACGTATGCCGTTCACGCGGTTAGAAAAAGCGTGAAAAGCGTGTTGAGGTCTTGTCACGACAGCCGTCCGTTTAACCACAGCGTCACCTAACCAGGTATCTGCGCCCTCTTCTCCGTTATGCTCTCGTGCCTATCTTCCTCTCCAGCGCTCAATGTCTCTTCCTTAAAGCGTAGGCCAGCTCACAAAAAAGAGGAAGCCATCAGTTTTACGGATAATATTCCATTATTTTCAAATAGCGCTCTATATCGCACCTTTCCCTTCATTTCAGATTGCAAGAATCATACCGATGTGATCGCGGCGAGTACCCCTGAATACAAAAAATCATTAAAATGTGCAGATGAACGCAGACAAATGACAGCTGCTGCGATTACACCAGCTTTTACCCGTTTTTGCAAAATGTAGATATTCAAAAGTCTTGATCTAGATCCTGCTCACATCTCCAATCAATATAACAAAAGAGTAAGCTGTCGTTCTGAATGATGTGGGCATCATACCACAGGAGCAGACATAGGTAATGTAGCCCGCGGTCCTAATCTTATTGCAATTCGAGCCACTTGCCAGCCTTTAAACTTTTCTATTAAACATTCACTAGTGAAGACCAGACCAGAAAAACTTGCACTCTAGCTGATATGAGAAGTACTTCTGAAGAGACAACTTTTTATTTGCACTCTGCATAATCCACAGTTTTCTCTGAATCTCGCTTTCTACTATTTTCATTCTTTGATTCCTTCAAGCAGACCATCATCTGCAATCTTTCCTAGCCGTTGACATTTTAGTTTGTATGAGTTACAGACTTCTCTCATTACAAGCCAGTCACTGTTCTTTTGTGATGGATTTGCTCTAGCAACATAGGAAGCCACATGCAACGTGCAGAAGGGCAGCCGTGCGAGACTATGATTTATGAAGGTGAG